GTTGTTGGCAGTTTGTGCAGCCTTCTGGTCACTCGACGCTTGGCTTTGTCCACCGGAGGATGCAGTATGAACTGCCGGCTAAAAAAGCTCGCGCAACGCTCCGGGTCCGACGAAGCATGGTCGCCGAAGGAAATTTCGACTCTGTCGTCGTGCTTCGTCGGATTAGACAATGACCTCACGGTTGACCAAAGCTTGCTCACACCAGAGGTGAAGTTACAAGTCTTCAGATGCTCCTCCCACTTCTTCCGCTTATGTACGTTTACAAGTTGCCGAATCTCCGCGTTGAGATCCCTGATACGGGGATCTCCGGGATCGGCCTGACGAAGGCTATCACGCTCATTGGCTAGAACAGCCGCTTCGGCAGGGAAGTTTGGACGTGGGTCCGATATACACCCTGCGGGTATGAAGCGAGCTGCAGCAGCAGTGATAGCCCTGCGGAACTTACGTTCACCGAGATGGACGTCGGTTGGTGTGGGGAGCGATGCGAAGGTGTTTTCAGTAAACTCCGCGTAACCTTTCCAATCAGCTTTAGAAAAGTTGATATAGGTCCGGTGTTTGGCGGAGGCAAAGTCGGTTGGTTTATCAATCGAGATGACTATGGGTAGATGGTCTGATGCTAGAGTCAGCATAGGTTGCCACGTTATGCTGTTTATCAGACCAGCGCTGACTATTGTGATGTCTGGCGAGCTACTGCAGTTACCCATAATCCCGGTGGGTGCGTCGTCGTTCATTGTGCAGAATGTCGAATCGGCTATCTGCTCAGCCAAGTCTGTTCCCCTACGATCGTTTGACAGGCTTGAGTGCCAAAGATCGTGGTGCGCATTAAAGTCACCTACTACCATACGGTTTTCACCTCTGAGGAGCGCACCTATATCAGGGTGATATCCTGCCGGGCAGCAGGTGACAGGGGGTATGTATATGTTGAATATTTCGAGCTCGACATCGCCTGACCGGATAGCGATGCCCTGACATTCTAGGGTGGTATCCCTGCGGTCGATGTCTGCTTCGATAAGACGATACTGCACGGTGTGGTGCGTGATGAACGTTAAGCCACCACCATTATCTCGCTCGCGATCTCGACGGTGCACGTTGTACCCGGCGCAATTCAACAAAGTTGAATTGCTGTGCAACTTCGTCTCTTGGACCGCAGCTATTAATATACCATGCCGACACATGAAGACGGTTATCTCCTCAATCTTGCTCTGTAGCCCGTTACAGTTGAATTGAAGGAGCTTCATGTGGTTCGGGAGACGTGTCGTGATGTGGGGTGTGAGTGAGGTGCATGTTCTTGCCGCCGTTGGCTGTGTGTGCTGCTGAGGTGATTGCCGCCCTGTGGTGGTGGTGGGGGGCGTCGCAATTGGAGTCTGCGACCGAGCAGCGCAACACGGGCCCTCGAAGTTCCCCGTCCAATCTCGCGTGGTACGCAGACCTGAGCATGCCCTAAAGTGGCACCAGCCAAGGCAGGTGTTGCACTTGACTGATGTCACATTACGGAATATCCTGGTCTGACATACCGTGCAGATTGTAGGGGGAACCAGGAGTTGTTGGCGGCGGCGTGTGGGTGGTGGTGCGGTTGTGTATGTTATGCGGTCTGTAGTGGCTGTGGTACGGTCTGTGGTGTTATTTTGTTGTTGTGTTGTGGTGACTGTGTGTGGCTGCTGTGTGAGTGTGTGGGGCTGCACGGGCGGACTATGGTTAGCCGTGGAGGCTGCTCTATTTGAGCAACAGGGGGCCACGTACGACGTGGTCCACTGTCTGTGTGTCCGTAGTCCCGAGCAGACCCTGAGGTGACTCCACCCCTCGCAGGCATTACACTTGACTGAGGTGGAGTTGTGGTGTAATCGTCTTCGGCATACACAGCAGGTGTA